ATCACTTTCAGCCCATTTATGTTATATTTATGGTCATAAAGGACAGAGTTTTTCAGGTTGATGTTGGTTTCTGAGTCTGTCTCCAGGTTCTGATCCGGTTCTGCTCTAAATGCTCCTCAGGTGAAAACCCNATGTTATCAGCCTAAAGCAGCAGCTGCTCATGTAACTGTCAGGATTATGAATAAACTTATTAACTACATGAAACTGAACTCTGTCTGGTTTATATCTAGATCAAAGGTTAGAGGATAGAAAATATCATCCAAATATGTTTAGAAGAACTTTGAAAATCTGATTTTTATTCTTCCTCATCATCAATTCCTAAAATAAGGCCGAATAAAACGGAAACAAATTTTAACCTCAAATTCTTGTTTTTTTTTTTTTTTTTAGTATTTAAATCATCTGAAGAGATTTTTCATTCATGATTTAAAATGTTCGTTGTTCTTTATATTTATAGGTTTTACAAAATTCCCCTGAGAAAACATATTCAAAACAAACTAGGACCACCAGGGGGCAGCACATCCACGTCTGTGTTTTATCATTTAACATTTGGGAAATAAAACTTCAGTAAAGTTAATTGAAGTGGACACATATATAATCTGATACATTATTATAAACTAGTTAATCTGAAATAAATGAGAATTAAAAGGAAACCAGATTATACATGAACTAAGACTACAATCTTACTTCATGTTTTTACCTGAATCTTTATCATGGTTTAAATAATTTTCATATTAAAGTTAAATTTATTGACATAACCCAAACAATTGCTTTACATTTCTATATTGCTCTGATCTTTCAGCTGGAACGAAGGGCCTCAATCTGGTTTCAACCTGTTTTTCCTGGTCTTGGTGTCGGTTTTGATCTCGTTTGATAAATTGAGTCGAGGTCGGTCCGAGACACAAACATTTTTGTCAAAATTACAAAAACTGAACTCTCTTATTTTCACTCACAGACACATGACAATATGTCAGAACGTGTGGCTCGATCTCAAGATGTGTGCTGTTACTTTTACTGGTAATTTGATTCATTGTGTGATGTAATTAATCAAAAACCACGCCTCAAAAGACTTAGCAGAAATAATGGAGCCAGGTCTTAAAAACTCTGAAAATCCACTATTTTGGGAGATTTCTTGTATCAAAGTGTCAGAAACAACATTAAACTTTCAGTTTGTAACTCTGTTAAAAAGCCAAGACTTTATTTTAATACCTCTTATGATTTTTCCACAAGATTTCAGAGAAAGTTTGGATTCAAACAACAGATAATTGCTGATCAGCTACATGCTGGGGAAGTAGCCAGCAGCTGCATCTCCATTACAAATGTGACCAAAACTTTATCAATATGTGGCTAATGTTAAAAACACACACTGCAGTGTATCCATTAAATTATAAATGTAATTCATATTACATGTGAATAAGTTGGTTTCATGATAAGTCATTAGGAATATGCCACACCAGGATCCTCCAGCTACTTCCTGTTGTCTTCTTCGTGGTTTACACCAGTGGAATCATCCGGCTGTTGATCATGTGACTCGTGATTTGAAAAAAGTGTTTGTTGTAGTTTTGTGAATAAATTTTTATATGCCCACAAAAAAAAACACCTCATCCTGGAGCCAAAACATTTTATCACAAAACAGGAGATTTTTTCAAATTTGCCACGTTTCCATTAAGCAAATTTATTTTCGAAATGTCAAATTGTGCCATTATGCGGTCACTAGAAACGCAGCTATTGCGTCCTGGCCTCATGTTACTCGGCCGTGTTCTGCTGTCGGCTTCATAAAATCTTTTTGGAAACACTCTGGAGTTAACGGTTTTCTAAGTGTTTCAGAGAGCGCTGAAGGAACGGGGGCCATTTATTTTCACGTGGGCCTCAAACGTCGTTGGACCGGCTCTGTGCTCTGACATTAAGTCTTTATAAAGATCTCTGACTTAAAACACCAAATATTTAGTCCTGAAGACGTTAAAAACATCAAGTCAGAAATGTCAAAAAGAAACCGACAGCAGGTCCTCATCTGTAAACACGTTAAATGATGGTTATTATTGTAAAATATTCATAAACAAGCTTTAATCAAGTAAAAACTAGAATCAGGAAGTTTCAGTAGAAAAGAAGCTCGAAGATGTTCAGATAAATATTCTGTTCGGCCTGCAGAGGAGAGCGGACTCGTCTACGGTAAGAGCTTCAACATTTCTGACCAACAAACCCTCAAACATACGCTGAGAGGTTTATTTCACCAAACTGTGTGAAATCAGCTCAGATTTAATCCAAATTTACTACAGAAACATTCAGAACTCCAAACACCAAAGGATTGGTTTAATGTGAACTATTCTTAAGTTTTAGTTTACTTTTGATCGTTCTGCTCAAACAACTTTTCAGAGGAAATCCCCTGATCCTCGCAGAGACAGAAACAGAATATTAATCATAATAAAGTCAACAGGAAGGAAATAAATGACCTACTATTTGACAGCTAGCACATTTAATGGCAACTGAAAGTCTCAAAGTTGTTTCCTGGTTATTAACAATAATAATCCTCCTGCATAAACGGGTTAAATCGTTGTGACATCAGAGCTTTTACACTGTCAAATTTCTTCTTTTTGACTTTTTGTCTCACTAAAATGTTTCAGATCAAACTAATTTTAATATCAGATAAAGACAAAAAGAGGTTTTAAAATTATGATTTTATTTATTGAGAAAAAAAACAACACAAGTGTTTCCAGTTCAGAGACTCAGGTTGGTTTGCATTCATTTTTTTTCTGTAAATGAATAAAATCATTATTTTGTTGTGCAATTTCAAAGCTGCTTTTTGTCTTTACTCAAGTTATTTTGATCTTTACAATATTTTACAATTTATGTTGCATTTAAGTTTGACTAAAACATATAAAGAAAGAAAGAAGGAAGGAAACAGAAACAAAAAAGAAAGGAAGAAACAAAGAAAGACAACAGAAACATGAGAGCAGGTCGACTGTTTTTCTGTAAAATGTAATGGAGAGAATGAAGAACTTCTTTCAAACTTCTGTTTTTTTTTATTTCTGCTTCTGGTTTATTTTGGGATGTCCTGTTTCGTCTCTCACTTGAGGAAGCTTAAAAAACTGGCAGGAACTTCTGACCTTCATTTCTCCTTCAGCCTCACAGCAGCAACAGCAACATGTCTGAAGCTGATGTAACGTACGCTGACGTGAAGTTCACAACGCCGAGGTCCAGAGGTGAGCGTCCGTCCATCCATCCATCCGTCCGTCCGTCCATCCGTCCATCCGTCCGTCCATCCATCCATCCATCCATCCATCATGTCTGTGTGTAGGTAATGTTGCAGCAGAGGACATCACCTACTCTGAGGTCCAGATCTCTAACAAACAGCAACCAGGTTGGTGGAAAAACTTATTTAAATCAACATAAAGATTCAGGAAGCACTGAAGATGTGTTTATTTTACAGTTTTTAGGAAAAAGAGTGTTCATTGTGTCTCTCCTGCTTGGATTCTCTGTGTTTAAACTCTGAAAACTGATTAAACTGAAGCCTCAGATTAGCTGATCATTTGCTGTTTGTCTTCGTTGACAATCAAAAACCAAATAATGAGTAAATATATAACACCACAAACAACATGTTTTCAATTCATATTGTTGATATGAGAAAACAGACATTTTTAGTTTTTGGTGTTATTCTTTATTTGTTTTTTGGTTGCCATGGGAAAACAGATCGAAGGAATGATAAACATATTCTATAAAATCTTCAGCAGTTGAGTCAGAATATTGTTTATGAGTTCAATCCTAATTTCAGTTACTCACGTTTGATTTTTTGTGAGCTCAGTCTGTGTCAGAGTTGGGATCAGATCTCTGTTTCTCTGAGAAGGGAGAAATAAGGAGCGGTTAGTTTCTGCACAAATGAGGAAGTTTCTCAGCAGGATTTATTTTTAACAAAAATGGCGCAATTTCTGATAACTGAAGTGTGAAACCTCAAGTGTTTATCTCAGCGTGACGAGTTTTATTCCTCTGCTGTTTATTGGCCACGACATTAGAAACTTGGAGCTCTGCAGACAAATATCTTCATAACTCTGGGACATTTTGTAAAGTTACAACAACAAACTTCAGGATGTTCAGTTGGGATTTCAACAAAATAAACACATTACAGTAAAGTGGAAGAACGATATGTGGCTCTGAAGATTTGAAGAAGCTTCGTTCAAGGCATGTTTTTTTTTTGTAAATCAGTTTGAGCTCAGTCAGAAGGAAACCATCTGAGAATATCAGTTATAAAGTCAACTGATTCTCAGTTTGACTTCTGTCTGAATGTTTCACTCTGGTTTTAATTGAAAACATGTTTTCATTTTATATCCTTCTGCATCCCATTCTGTTCAAACTGTTCAGCAAACATCCAACAGTCTGGCTCCAGCAGGAGGTCAAAGGTCACCCCAGAGCGTCTGGTTCTGCTGGGTCTCGTTGTTCTGTTGGCAGCGGCTCTCGTGGCTCTTGGAGTCGCCTGTGAGTTTAAAGTTTTACTTCAACCAGCAGGTTTTATCTCTGTCAGTCATTTTCCTGGCAGATGAACTCTGACCCCATGATGACCTCTGGTGCCTCTGAGGTCATTTACATGATGCTTGGTCCTGTTTCTCCTTCTTCAGTTCATTGAGGTTTGCAGACATTTCTGATCCCAGTACAGACTGCAGATCAGCTTTAGGTCTGTACTTTGACTAGGCCATCTTTTTCAGATACTTTGATGTAGATTTGCTGCCACCAACAACCAGACCTGTTCAATCTTTTTCTGTTACTTCTGTAACTTTCATGATCTTCATGTTGAGAAGAAACATGTAACATAAACATGTTCATAAATACTGACTAACTCAAGGTTTTTTTAATCAGTCATTCAGACCAATCAGACTCTCCAAACCCTGAAAGAAGAGAAAGAAACTCTGAGGAGAAATCTCTCAGGTGAGCTTAAATGTTAGCTCAAGGTTCAGACTGTCAGATTTTTAAATTTAAAAAATCTACAGATTATTTGCAGAGCGATTAATTATTATTTCTCCACCAGTAAATCCTCCTGGACTGACAGCAGACGTTCCTGCACTGATCTGGGATCAGACCTGGTGAAGATCGACAGCAGAGAGGAGCAGGTATGAAACTCTGCTGCAGGTTCAGCTTCTCTCTGGTTTCATCTCAGCTCAGAGAAATTTAACAGTCATTTTCATCAACTTCTCCTGTTCAGATGTTCCTGGAGAGCAGACTGAGAGGCTTGATGGAGGACAATGAGGACAAGTTCTGGATCGGACTGACCGACTCAGTGGAAGAAGGCAGATGGTTCTGGGTGGACGGATCAGCTCTGGATCAAAGGTTTGGTTGAAGCAAAAATATTTTTAGGATTATTTCCAGAAACCAAGTCAGTTTTTATTTTTCCTGTTTCTGTTCTTCAGTTTGAGCTTTTGGTATCAGAAGGAGCCTGATGACTGGAAAACTGAGAATCCAGCTGGAGAAGACTGTGTGAGGATGGGAGAGAGAGGAGGAAGTCAGGATCTGAGGTGTTGGTTTGATAAAGCCTGTAATGGTACACAGAAAAGTATCTGTGAGAAACCAGCAGCACCAAGTTATCCATGTGTCTGAAGTTCAGTTCAGTTTATAAAACAATCTGAGAACAGAACCAAAATCCTGCAGAGATTCTGGTTCTATAAACATTTAAACTTTTCTTCCAGCTATATTAAAACATCATTTTCTCCACTTTCATATTATTTCTATCAGCTTTAGTTATTTTCTGATCTGCAGCAGCAGCAGACCACCAAGAGAAAAACTCAGAAGCTCTGAGTTACAAACAGGAACCTGGAAGAACCTGCAGCAGAACTTTTCCATCAGAGTTTAACAGAGGGTTTATTTCTGCTTCTGGTTCTAACGGGTCTGGATCCTGCATGTGACTTGGGTCAGAACATTTCTGAGGCTCTGCAGCTTCGGATGATCCATCATAGAGAGCAGAACATGTGGAAAACCAGAACATCTCTACTGGTTTGACTGGTTCAGATCCTCCTTAACAGCAGCTCAAACTGAATCAGTTCATGTTCACAGTTCACCTGCTGAACATCTAGAACTGAATCTCCCAACATAAAGTAGTTCCTGTTGCTTCATCAGTTTATCTCATGTGTAAATCTTTGCATGGTGTCATGGATGATGGTTTCTGCAGCAGGACTCATCATGTTTCCATGTAGAAAATAAAGATCAGATCCACCATCAGAGCTCCAGCTTTCATGTTATCAGCCTAAAGCAGCAGCTGCTCATGTAACTGTCAGGATTATGAATAAACTTATTAACTACATGAAACTGAACTCTGTCTGGTTTATATGTCCAGTGGGTGTTTAGAATGAATAAACTATGAAGGATGAACAGGAAGAAGGTGCAGTCAGGAACTGAGATGTTTATCAGTTTCTGATTGAAAGCGTCAGAAGATCTTATTGGTTTTCTGGTTCACTTCAGATTCTCTCTGTTTTCAAAGTGAAATCCTATTTAGAGCAGCTGATGGAGCAGAAAACATCTGCTGTACTGATGCAGCTGCCGGCAGCTTTCTGATGTTTCTAAATCTCACTGCCAGTTTATACAGTGAAATGTTATCCAGCTCACTTTCTAACATGTGTATTTAAATTAAATGGTAAATAAACAGAGGTAACTTATCTACTGCACTGCATTAAAAACATGACTCAAAGAGAAGTCATCAGGGTTCATTACAGCAAATGTAATAACTATTTCTATGAGATACATTTGAATTTGTTAAAAAAAAAATTAATGAAAATGTTGCGTTTTAAAGTGCCAGTATTATGCATTTTCCAGGCACAAGTTGCCATTTCATAACACAATCAAGTTGTTATAAAAAATGTTGTACACATTAAATATAAAATAAATTTCACTTTGTAATTTAACACTTTGAATTTGGGCCTCTGTCTCTTTAAAAACTCCTGCTCTTTCTGAAGCTCCGCCTTCAGGAAGTCACCTCAACATGGCTCCTTTATTAACCCTGTAACATTTTATCAGCGCTGCTCTGAGCAGCAGCTCCTATAATGAGCTCAGCAGATGTTTGCTAATTGCTGCTGGCTAGTCTGGAGGAGCTGAGTGGAGGAGCTGTGGGGAGGGCTGCTCTGTGAGGTGGAAGCTTCCAGACTGCAGCTGAGAGGAGGAGCTGCATCTGAAGGCGGGGCTAAGTCCACCCAGGCGTTTGGTACAGCTGAATGGTTGCCATGGAGATCGAAGGATTTCTCAAACATGCATGAAAGAATCAAAGCAACACTCCAAGTTTGTTTCAATGAGGGGATAACATCACAACATGACGGAAAGCTCAAAAGAAATGATTTTATATAATAACATCTCTTCAAACATCCTCCTGCAGCCATCAAAGAGCCACTGATCGGTGATCTGCTTCGACTAAGATTTTACTTTTACATCTGATGTTTAGGAGGCAAATTCACACGTTTTGTTTGACCCCTGGCTGGTTAGCCGCCTCGTCTGCAGGGCAGAGCTCCATCTGACGGTGAGGAGAGGAGAGGTACTGACATGACGCACTGAGATTTAGATTCATGCCAAAAAACGACTTCTCCATCTTAATAAACTGGGATCTTTTCGTACCTGCAGCCAGTGGAGGCTGAACTTGGTTATAAACATTTTAACATTTGAAAAAAAACCCTTCAACTTCACACATCTAACTGGGACTAATCATCCGTTCAGTTTTAGAGAATCAGTAAGAGGAACTGTTACAGATAAAGATCTGGTCATTTATAGAGGAAGAAGTTCAATAAAGCAAAATGAGACACAAACTTTTTATTATGACTGATTTTAGATCGATGCCGAATGATGAATGTGTTTAAAATTAATTTAATGATGTGTTTAAATGTTTTACCAGAATTTAAATAAAGAGGAAAGAAGCAGATCCTCCTCTCTAACAGGAAGTTCCTTCAACATAAAGCCGTGAAGCAGGAAGCTGATGGACAGATCTTCGATCAGAAACGTCCAGAGAGGAGAGACGACACGCTGATGGTGAGATTAGATGATTTTCTCTCCAGAAAATACTCAATGAAAATATTCTTCCTTTATTTAAATAAAAAAAATTCAGTTTTAATACATTCAATTCAATAAGAAGCAGCTCATCTCCATCCATTGTCTGTAATTTAATATCTTCTGCCTGAGTTCATTCTGTCTCGTTTTGATTTATGAAAATACATTTCTTAGTTTAATATAAATCTATGGGCTTGGTCAAAAATTCATGACTTACTTCAAAACCTCCCTGTATAAAAATAAATCCTTCGTAACGACTTGTTTTACATATTTGAGATTTATTAAATGTAGATGAATTGAAGACAGATTAAAGATAAAATGACTTTATTTCCTCCGTGTTTCTGACCTGTCTCTGTGTTTGTCCTCAGAGTGAAGCGTCTCCATGATGAGACGTCCTCACAGCGATGAAGAGCTGAAGATGAAGAGTCTGGAGGCAAATCAGCCGGAAGGAGATGAAGGAGCTGCAGTCAGAGGTGAGTCCTCTTCATCAGACAAACAGCAACCAGACTGAACACAAACTGATTCTTTAGACAACATGAATAAATCAGGAACTCAGGAATCTGAGAGGAAACTGTAGATAAAGTGTAAAAAACATCTGAACATGGTCATGTTTTATGAAAAGATCCTTACCCAGCCAGCATGCCTAGGTGGGCCCCATGTGGGGAAAAGGAGGGCAGACTATATGGGTCCCATATGGGTTTGTCCGCGGGTTCCATGATGGCCCCACATGGGTTTGCCCATGTAGGGCCAGAGCCCACATGGGCCCTGCATGGGCCCTATATGGTGGTGGCCCACATGGGTTTTGTCCAATTAGGGCCCATGTAGCACCCATGTGGGCTGTGGCCCTACATGGGCAAACCCATGTGGGGCCATCGTGGAACCCGCGGACAAACCCATATGGGACCCATATAGTCTGCCCTCCTTGTCCCCACATGGGTCCCACCTAGGCATGCTGGCTGGGTTAATAGTTTTAATAAAAATTATCTAGTTTAAATTATTGTATGTAGCAAATGTTGAAACACTGTTCTCAGTGTCGTCCTTAGCTTTGTATGCAGCACTTGTCCTGTTTGTCCTGAGACTTTGCGTTTATCTTTAACTGCTGATGGACAATGATCCTCCTGTTACCCTGCAAGAATAACGAACAAACAAACCAACAAACGGTCGGTCGGTCGGTTGGTCGATCAGTCGGTCGGTCGGTCGGTCGGTCGATCAGTCGGTTGTTTATTGGCTTTCATCACCAGTCTACCAGTCTGTGTTAAATTAGGCCTGCCGACGTTAACGCCTTCACTCTGACTGAAAATAATCCTTGAGGTTTTCCGGCTGTTATTCCCCTTGTTAACCGTTCCTGCTCAATCTGCTGACCGTGGTCTGAAGACACAGGGGAGATGTTTTCTCCAGGGCCGAAGTTCCTACTTCGGGGTTAACTCCCTCGCACGCCTTGAACATGAACCACGCGGTGGCACGGAGATGGTTGAGGTTAACTTTTAATAACTCCAGCTAACAGGTGAAAGCTGCACAGACTTTTCTTGCAGCCGCTGCTCCGGTCGTCTCCTACTCACTCACTCCGCCTCACACACACTGTCTCTCCCTCGCTCCTCAAGGATGCAGGGGTTCTTTTAGTATGCAGCGCCCCCCTTCAGACCGGAGGACGACTGCCACACATCTCTTGCACCCGCACAACTCACTAAGCTAAACATCACATACAGTGGAGGCACTTTCCGCAACACCCTCATTGCTCATTTTTAGCAGAAAGCCATTAGTAGGAACAGATGACCTCACTTCCTCTCATTACACTGCCCCTAGTGGTGGGCGTAGGCCAGTTTTCTACTTTCATTTCCATAGACATTTCACTGCCATATATTTGTTAATATTTTTTTAACAAACCATCACAGTAGCTGTTTAGGAGGAGTCAAAATTCACAGACATTGAAAAAGCCTCTTAGTTGTTAAATAAGACGTATAAAATCAACTTTAATGGAAAACAAAGAAACTCAGTGATTTTAATGAGATCAGATGTTAGTTTCTGAGTCCGTCTCCAGGTTCTGATCCGGTTCTGCTCTAAATGCTCCTCAGGTGAAAACCCAAGCAGAACCTCCAAGCTNTAACTGTGAGGATTATGAATAAATAAACTACAGAACTGAGACTCTGTCTGGTTTTTATGATGGATGGACAACTTTAAGTTGTTCTTTATTTTGTTTATTGATCATAATGACCAACTAAGAGAGATTCTGCTCCTATAAACGTAACTGTTGGACCCAAACCAGAGGGGCAGCAGCTGAGTTGGTGATTTAATTCCTACCTAAAGATGAACACAGCTGTTCCACATCAGGAGCTCCTGGCAGCATCATCATTACTCAGCGTTATGGAGGAGTTTGTCCGGTTCTGACGCTCTAGTAGTTATTTAGGTTCTTCTGACTGAAATGAGAGAATAAAGATCACTCTGGGGATTTTAGAGAGATGAATATAGCAGAGGGGATTTTCAGGAGGGCTCTAAGTAATTTAAAATCAGTCATTCCACCAAAAAATAGTCTGCAATTTAAAACCACTGCCAACATGTCCGGTTCTGCAGAAGGCAAGACGCTACACGAAGTCTGCAAACCGCTTCCATGTTCTCAGAAGACTCATGCTACTATTAATGTTAAAGTTAATGTGTCCACAATCAAAAAGAGACTAATTTTTAGTGACCTAAACCAGGAGCCTTTAGCATCTGAACTCAGGAACAAATTCCCTGAAAACCTGAAACACCCAGAAACTGTCGGCTCCTTTAAATCAGGACTGAAAACTTTGTTTTCTGCGTCACAGGACAGAAAATAGAACAACTATCAACTGTTTGTTTGTTTTACATTTGGATTTTTGTGGCTTCTTTATTGTGAAATCTTTTTAACATTTTGGTCTGAATTTTTTCTCTTTTTATTTCTTTATATCCTGATTAAAAACTCTCTGTGCTAAAATCACGTCTTCAGCCTGTATTAGTCTAAGTTGTTCTAAATGTATTAATTAGTCACATAAATCCTTTATTTATGTTTCTGTTGATGTAATAATGATACGTCTGTTTTCAGTGAAGTATATGAACGGAGCTTTACAAGTAAATCTGCTCTGCCTGAAATTTTATTTATTTACTTATTTATTTATTTATTTATTTATTTATTTATTTATTTATTTATTTATTTATTTATTTATTTATTTATTTATTGTATCAAATAGCACAACGATACTCTAGAAAGACCACTAAAATACCACTAGAGGGCAGCACATCACAATTTCTGTCATGAGAAAATTTCACTAAAAAAAAACAATGTTTAAAATTTAAAAATAATAATAAAATAAAAAGGGACCCAGAGAGAATATTTTACATTATTTTTACAGACCATAATTAACAACTTTCTTCAGCATATGGAAGCAGACTTTAGAGGAAGCCTCCTCTTCCTCCTCGAAGCTCAGCAGGAAGTTTCTTCAACTTAAAGCTTTTTCATTTCAGCTCTTCTGTCTGAAAGACCACAGAGGAGAGAGGACACCCTGCTGGTGAGATTAGATTATTTTCTGTTCAATTTATTCTCAAGGAAAACCTGAAATGCTTTATTTCATTTACGTAAAAAAAAAAAAAACACTGGATTTAAACTTTAATCATTAAAACTGCTCAACATTTTCACCACAAATAGGTCACTGTCTTTGTTATTTTACTGAGGATTCATAATAATAATAATATAATTGATAATATGTCTAACTTTGAAATGGATATGTGAATTCAAATATATCTGAATAAAAACCTTTATTAATTTAAATGAGGTCAGTTTTAGATCAAGTTAATATAAAACAGATTTTTAATTCTTTCATTTGTTTAAGTTCTTTCTGAGTTTTTATTGGGCTGAATTGATGCCTGATTTAATGGACAACATCTGGTTTCTGTTCAACATTGAGCTGAAATGAGATGATATGATTCCCTCCACAGATCTGATCCGTCCGTGTTTCAGTGATGAAACGTCCTCAGGCTGATGAAGGTCAGAGGATGAGTGTGATGAACCAGCAGGAAGGAGATGAAGAAGCTGCAGTCAGAGGTCAGAGGTCTTCATCAGACAAACATCCACAGTCTGAACACAAACTGATTCTTTCACACGACATTTATCATCTGAACTGGGAGAAAACGGACGTTTTCTGCAGGACTGGGTCCATAAATGATCTTTTACAGGGTGGATAACTGTTAAAAAAGAAAAAAGAAAATAATTTAGTGTTTAAAAATGAAGACAGGAAGTGGCTTGAGTGGTTTTCTGGGACGAAAGATGTCTGATCAACATCCTGTCTGGTCGGCCCCGGTCCTCTCCATCTGGGGGATGGTTCTCAAACCTCTTTGTTTCAAAAACCCCCAAATTCAAAAACCTTAAAACGTTTAACTTCCTGCCTGGACCAGCATCTTCAAACTGATCTCCAGTTCAAATCAGAGTCCAGTTCAGAGTTCATCAGATGAGTTTAAGGGTCGCCATCGACCTCGAGGTTTTCGCTGTTCATTTTATATTCTGATTAAAACTCTCTGCTAAAATCACGTCTTCAGCCTGTATTAGTCTATACAGGCTATTTATTAATCAGTCAAATAAATCTTTTATTTATGTTTCTGTTGATGTAATAATGATTTTCAGTCTTGTTCAGAAGTTTAAGTCAGTTAACGACGTATTTAAATGTTTCCCAATGAAACAAAGTATTCTGGTTTTATTGAGCAAACTTTAATTTACTGGTTTAATCATTCATTTGTTTGGTTATTATTTTTATTAGATTTTTTTTGTATTATCATTTATCATATTTATTACTGATATAGTGATGGTTTGTCTGTTTGGTTAGGGTAAGATAAGATAAGATAAGATAAGATAAGATAAGATGAGAAAAAGGAAAAGAAAGAGTAAAAAGTCAAGTGAGTAACCAATCTGATCTCATCAGATAGGCAAAAATCTAAATTTATGTGCAAATTTTGGTATTTTAAAGACTAAATGTAAAACAACAACAAAATTACAAAATAACACATTCAAAGATGATCCACGTTCCATATTATATCTTTTCTTATAATGCTATATTCCTTATATCATATCATAAATCTTATAAAACTATTATTACCTCCAAATGACACAAAAGATTCAGCAAATAGAAAATAATCCCAGAGCAACAAAGCTGGTGTAGAAACGAGAGGTCTCACTTTGACGTAAACTGCAGGTCTGATGCATTTTTCTTTAAACACTTCATAATACGTTTATTCAAGTAAAATGAAAGTTTTTAAAAAAAAGTAAAAGTTTTACAGTTTTATTACTCATACAAGTCATTTTTTCCCAGAAAGTTACTCAAATGAGCGCGTCTTGTTCCTGCCCCCCTCAGCAGGGGGGCAGGAACTGTGATGCCCCTCCTGCCTCTGTTCCCTCTGCAGAAAGGCACCGCCTTCCTGAAAAGGGACGAGGATGATGATCCTCACCAAAAAACATATCTAGCTATGAATAATGAGTTTCCACTGGTTCTGATCCAAATGCTCCTCAGGTGAAAACCCCAGCAGAACCTCCAAGCTGCCAGCAGGGGGAGTAGTTCTGCTGGTTCTGGTCGGTCTGCTGGCTGCTGCTCTCATCGTCATCTACAGGCTCTGTGAGTTCATCCTGATTCTTTAAAACAGTCACACTGATGTTCATCTTCTAGGAATGAAATCAGCTCTTTACCATTCAATACTCAAGACATTTTAATCACATTTTGAATTTTGTTTCGTTATTTGATGACAAACTTAACGTCAGAGCTTTGATAATAAAATAAATTCAGCATAAAAACAGAGATGGTGCATTCACGGTCGATTCCGAAAAAGATCATGTGACGTTTATGTCTCTTCTTTAAATTAATTAAATTAATATTTTTAAAATGTTATATTTTTACATTTTATGTAGATTTTTTAAATGGCTTTTTAGATTTATTTTTTTAAACAAAGAACAATGTTAAATAAGATATATATAAAAGTAAATGGAGGTTAAATAGTTTATACTGGTGAAGTATAAACCTTTTCTAACTAAGTTACATAAATACGCATCAAGGTAATTTAATGTGTTTGAAATAAACACACTAAGCTAAACTAAACTAAAATGTTCACATTTAATCTCTGCAGAAATAATTAAATGATTTAATCCAATAATGTGAAGAAAAACTGGTTTTTTCACATTATTATGAACTTTATTCTTATTTCCTTTGACTGCTTCATTTTATATGTTTAAAGTCAAAAAGTCTGAACCCCTAAAACATCTAATTAACTTTTTAATTAGTTTTTAAAGCAACAGGAATAAAAATAAATGGACTCATCTTTTCTGTTTATCAGCGACTCACATTGTGCGAACAAATGAGGATCTGCAGAGAATCAGAGAGGAGAAGGAAGTCCTGAGGAGAAACCTGACAGGTAAAACGCCTCAAATCAGAACAAATCAAAGTTCTGGGAAAGATTTGAGTCTGGCTCTCTCCCCAGAACAGGAGTTTTTATTTTTACAAAGAATAATTAAGTCAAAGTGATTCTGATGTTTAGGCGCAAATTTTCAAGTCAAGAAAATCTGAAATCTTCAGTTTTCTCAAATGTTTGAAATTAATCTTAAAATTTCTGAGTTTTCTGGTGGAATTTTACTTCTCCGTGGTTTTTCATATCAGTTTTGGATCATAAAATTCACCTGAAATGTTCTGAGAAGTTACAACGTGTCCTGCAGCGTTTGAAGACGAGCCGTCCTGTGAGATCGGTTGGGTCCAGTTCCAGGGAAGCTGCTATCACTTTTCCACAGACCAGTTTTCCTGGGCGGAGAGCCGGAGAAGCTGCCGGGAAGCGGGAGCGGAGCTGGTGAAGGTCGACAGCAGAGAGCTGCAGGTCCGAAACAGCGTCAGGTATCCGGTCCGATCCGGACAAACCGGGCCAGGTTCTAACTTCTCCTCTCCAGTACTTCCTGAGGTACCACCTGACCGGGAAAATGAAGAGCTTCCAGGACATGTTCTGGATCGGACTGACGGACTCGGCGGAGGAGGGGAGATGGGTCTGGATGGACGGGTCGGACCTGAGCGAGAGGTCTGAAGGCTGACAGCGTTTAACCACAGGCTGCATTTACTGTACAGATGGCAGGGAAAAAATCTGAAAATGTCCATTTTTTAAAATAAAATTCCTGAGATTAAACTCAAAATTTTGGATTTTTTTTCTGGCAAAATTTCAGCCTTTCAAACCAAGGGCGTAGGTTCGGTCTAAGTTTTGGTGGGGACCTTGACAGCCCCCCCACCCCCCGGCAGCACAGTGAAATGCCCAAGAGCACCGAACATTTTGGCACTCACACTGACTGCCTCCTATAGAGCAAACAAAGCGTAACCTGGTTTGTATTCACACTAGCTTAACTTAATTTAAGACTAACACTTCAAATGCCATATTTACTGAGATACTGTCACAGTATATATCATATCTGAGAACTAACACCTCACCTGGAGCCCTGAAGCTCCAGCCCCCGCGCCATCGTTCTGCTCTGCCCCTTGCTCTGCTGTCTGAGCATCCTATGTGACAAAATATTTCATAATTAACAGACCTATTCTACCTCACATTCAGTGCTGACCTTACTAAACACCGGACTTTACAACAAATGCGTTGCGTGATAGATATCTAACTTATGGGTCCACTCACTGTACTTACAGCCGACGTAGCGAAATAACTTCTGTCTGTCCTTTTCTTTTTTGGTGGCGACATGGTCTCGGAGACTCAGAAGGAGACGCCCAGCTAGCCGCCGCCTTTTGCAGCTAATCAAAGAACGTCCGACGATTCAACTGACTCCCCCCCGACACGGTCTCGGAGGCTCATAATAAATGTCAAACTAAGAAGCTTCCGTTCCGCGCACCGCCTGTTGCTGCTAATCAAAGATCGTAGATCCATGTTCTTTGAGCCAATATGGCAAAAATTGGTCGGGACTTTTTCATACCCTTTGAATATTGGTCGGGACATGTCCCTACCGTCCCTACCCAAACCTACGCCCATGTTTCAAACTCAGAAATTTCCAAGTTTTTTCTTGAAAATTTCTGAAATTAATCTCAAAATAAGGTTTTTTCTTTTGTTTTTTTGTTTTGTTTTTTTTTTTTTTTTTTTGTTTTTGGTGGAAATTTACTCATTTTTTCTATCTTGAATGTGCGCAAATCTCTTGATTTTCTGCTAAAAAAAACCGACATACGAGATGTTTCTTTTGAAAAAGAAATGCAATTAAATTCATATACGAATACATTTGTTCACTTGATAAGTGCTAAAAAAACAAAAAAAAAACATTGAGTGTCATCTTCTTCGTCATTTCTGCCAGTAGTAACATCCAGTTGTTGATAAAAAAATATTTCGATATTGGTATGTTTTTGTTTTGTTTTGTTTGTTTTTTATTATTATTTTATTTTTTATATATATAAATATTCAAATAGCCTAATTTTATGGTCAATGAAAACGCAGCTTGTGGCTGAGCTCGTCCTGACCCGGTCCGGTTCTGTTCCGCAGTGTGCAGTTCTGGAGCCAAAATGAGCCGGATAACTGGACAGCGGAGAACCCGGCGGGGGAGAACTGTGTGCGGATGGGGATGGAGGGAGGAAGACCGATGAACAACTGGTACGACAAAGACTGCGGCGCCGCGCAGAGGAGAATCTGCCAGAAGAGAAACTCCGGATAAAGACAAGAGATTCTTTTTAAATAAATATGACACAAATATTTATGCTTTGTTTTAGTTCTTGGACTCCGAGCCAAATGTTGGACATCGTTGGCAGGAAAGAAAAATGCAGACATTTCACTTTCACATTATTTTTCTTGACTTTCTGCCAAATGAGATTTGATTCCTTCATGTTTGAATTTAGAACAAACTGAATAGATTTTCTGAAGCATCTGAACCTGGAAATAAAAAGAGGAACAAATTTCTGCTTAACTCACCATTTAGTTTTTTAACTTCAAATTTTAAACTTACATGACAAATGATTTTTGTTAAAATAAAGGAGGAATTGTCCAATTAACGAGAGCATCTCTGTTAATGAACGGCAGCATGTCTTCGTTCATATATTCTTAATGTTAGTAGATTTTAGGCTATGAAAGAAGCAATTTGGCTCAGATTTAGATATTTGGCAGAAAAAAAGTTTCCTTTTCCAACTTTATGTAAACTTGAAGAGAGAATGTCTGTTCTCCTTTGTAGGAAATCATCACAATTAAGGCAACGTGCAAATTCTTCAGTACTGTCCAAAGATTTTATTTATGAAATAACTGAGGCAAACGGGACAAAAACAAACATTTGCTCCAGTTTAGAACAACTGTCACTGTGAATTCAGCCTAATTGATGTTTCAGCCTTATTATGTAAAAAAAACCCTCATTTTCATCCAAAAACATCCAGTTGATAAAGTAAACGTTTATTTCCTGCTGTGTAAAAATGATGAACATGAGTTTCTGAAGCAAATTCTGTTTACTGCTGAAGGAAGAAATGAAACAAAAACAGTTTTCTCTCATTTAAACATCAAAACCAAACAGCAGAAAATCCAAAGTAGAAAAGAACTCCAGGCTCCTTGCTGGTTCTGATCCGTTGGTTCCCTCAGGCTCCTCCTCCGTCTCGCTCCGTCAGCTCTCTGACGGTGAGCCATCGAACGATGGCGGCCTCCATGGTGGCGTCGTCCAGCGGCGCCAGCGAGAACCACAGGGGGCTGCTGGGAACGCAGCGGCGGTCCGGCTGCAGGTAGAAAACGTCGCTGCGCCGCCTCACCGAGTCGGAGCTGGAAAACAGGAAACAACCAGCAGGAACGCTTTTATCCGACCGTCAACTGGATTTTCTGTTAAATTCAACAAGCAAAGGAGGAAACCTGAGCTGCAGGTCGGAGCAGAGATGGCCGTTTTAAACCCAACAGAAAATGAAGGACACACAAACTTATCCCCACTCATGCATCACTGAATATTCCTGATGTTTCATTTATTTTAGTTCAACTAAAATAAGTGACTTGATGAGTAAAATTAACTAAAATGGTGAAAGTTTTTGGGTTTGATTCGTTTAATACATTTTCTTCTGCCACACAAAATTAAAAAAATAACCTAAAGTTATTTTTTTATTCGATTCACTCCTCAATAAATATTAATAATTCACATAAAAACTAAAGAAATCATGAATAAAAAGGAGCAGAAAGAAGTTTAAACTCATATCTATAAAAAGTTCCTATTTTTTCAGTCCAGATGTCTGAAAATACAAAAGCAAAATGTATTAAAACTAAAATAAATTGTTGTATGATGTTTCTTAGACCCAGTAAAGTTATTTATAGTTAAAATTATAGTCAAAAGCAGGATTTGATTTGCACACTGCAGTTCTCCTCCTGAACAGCAGGTGGCAACACAGAAAAATTAACACTTTTTTTTTCTCATCTTTAACTGAGAGACGCCTTGTGATGATCCAGACTCATAAATAGAAAAAAATACATTTATTTTCTACATTTCCCCGCAGCTTATTCATGTGTTTGGTTTTCTTCAGCACAGGATGAAAGTTTCTACAATCGGCTGCAGAGAAACGAGATCTAAAGGCAGAAAGCAGAAAACTCTGGAACTTCACTGAATCTCAATGCAGATGCATCTCAGTGAATGAAGAAAACTTTTCAGTTTTTCTCATTAACGACGGCCTGAACTGATCCGAGTGCAGCTGACGGAGGGCGGGTTGAGGATGTTCTCACCACTTGGACAGGTAGAACTCGTAGAGTCGGACCGGGCAGCGCAGAGGGTTCTGCAGGTTCTCCTTCATCTCCAGGAAATTCTCGTTTAACCTGCGTTTCTTCGCCGGGACGCCGTCAGAACCTGAACAACAAAAAAACAACAAGCACATAAAAACACATCGGAACAGCGACATTTAAGAAATATGACTTAAAAATATAAGTTTTGATTGTTTTGTTCCAAGTTTAGTCAATTTTTGCCTTTTCTTTTCTCAAGAAAAAAGAAATGACACAAAATGTTTTCCAAACATGGAAATGTGTACAGGGTAACTTCACAAGATGTTCAGCATTCTTCACTTTAATTATTTTGTTTTACGTGTTTAGAGTTTGCACAAAATCATGACTTTATTCTGGAAATATTATGACTTTATCCTGGTAATCAAATCAAAAATGTTAGCCTAATAAACCATTAAACCATCACAGAGTTGACCTGAATCCAAATATCAAATAACTGGAAAATAAGATAAAATTAAATTAGTTGAACATTTCCAAATAATTGATTAAATTAGATTAATTGATCAAGTTCACTTAGTTGATCAAATTTGATTAAATTCAATCAATAAAATTCAATGAATTGATACAATTCTATAAATCAATATTCAATTAATTGAATATTCATTCATTTATAAAATTCAATTAAACAAAATTTGATCAACCAATAAAATTCAATAAATAGATCAAATTCAATTGACCAAATAAAATTCCATTAATTCAATGTTAATAAAAATGTAAACTAATCAATTACATTGAATAAATCAATCAAATTCGATGAACCAATAAAATGTGATTAATCACTGAAGTGGATTTACCGGCAGCCTCTTCGGTACCGGTCTCTGCATCGCCTCTGGACTCCGGCGGGTAGAACCGCAGGACGCTCGTCTCGCCATCGGTTCTGGTGCAGCTGGTGAAGTTAGTGAAGGACAGCCGGCGCTGCTGCGCCACCGTGGTGAAGCCAAAGTATTTGCAGGAGAAGAAGAGCAGCGTGTTGAGGAGGACGATGGGGGAGTACGCCCCCAGCTGCTTGCACTCCCACAGGAACTCCTCCTCCACCCGGGAGGCGACGCCGCCTGCAGAGGAAGGAGAGGAACAGCTGCAGGGTCAAAGATGGAGGAATAGAGATGGAGGAACAGAGATGGAGGAACCAAGATGGAGGAACCAAGATGGAGGAACCAAGATGGAGGAACCAAGATGGAGGATCAAAGATGGAGGACCAAAGATGGAGGAACAAAGATGGAGGATCAAAGATGGAGGAACAGAGATGGAGGAACAGAGATGGAGGATCACGACTTACGGTGGACGGACATTGAAGGTCGGGAACGTTTCAGGATTCTGGTGAGCTCAGACGAGAACTTCTGGTAGTTCTGGTCGGTGAAAATGTTCTCCGCACGTCTGTTTTCAAACAAATACTGCAAAAAAACAAGGAAAAAAACATTTCCAACAATAAATTATGACAGGAAGAAGAATCTGCAGAGACAGGAAGTTTAATATGTTGATGGGATGTTATGCAGAAAACCTCATCTGATTTTGATAAAATCAGATTTAAGTTTTTATTTTACAGAACAACCCTGTGAAAGTCAGACCTGTGTTTAGAAAAAATGTTTTATGCAAAAAAGTTTTCACTGAATTAATAATTATTGTATTTAGAGCGAATAAAAAAGAAGCCCGGATCAGAACTGCATTACAGTAACAGAAACATTATATTTACAATTTGCAATGTTTAAAATGTTACAAATTCCCAATAATTCATGTAGTAGAAACTGCCATCATGACAGTCTGAGGTTACCATTGTTTTTATTAATTTATTTTTGTTTTTTAAAACAGTTCGTCTTAAATTGATCCCTGGAATATAAAAGCAGATTACATTTTTCTACAAACTGTGCCGTTTGAATATCAGGCACTTTCTAAACCTTGGAACTCTGAACTGAACTCCAGGATTTGAGGCTTCTGGTCTGAGGATGGAGGTAAAAACAGGAGCGGAGCGGAGAATACCTGCTGGATGCTGAGGCAGAGGAAGAACAGGCCGTCTGGAGGGCAGGAGTCTTCCTCAGGAAGCTCCGCCTCCCTGATGAAGAGGAAGAGGCCGTCGCTCAGCTCCGAGGAAGAGCACCGCAGGATGTCCGACCTGCCAGCAGCCACTGCCAGACAGGAAGTGAGACGACAGGTCAGCATCAGGGAACAGGAAGTGAGGCGTGAGCATCATGGCCGCAGCCTTTAGACTGATCTTTGTTTTGGACCAAATCATCATGAATGTTCTTAAAGGGCCGGTTGCTCCAGAGAGTATTAATAAAACCCTTTAAACTGTTAAATAATGAACATTTTGTCACGCTGGTCAGTTCCTTCAGGATAAAAACCACTGATTTTGTTGAGCTCATCTAGAAATATTTCCAAGAAATTTTGTGATATTTGCAATTATAAATATCGCAAATATCGATATTTGTCAAACATAATAATGTGAGTTTTTGTTTCTGTCCACATTGATCACAGATGACAACATGACATCAAGTAAGGCGGAGGCAGCAGAGTAGATGTATGAAATACTGCCACCTGCAGGTGGGAGTTGTAGGGAAGATGATTAGGGCCACAAAAAAAGGCAACATTTTCTCCAAATTCTGACTTTAATCTGAAAGTTCTGATTTTAATCTCAGAATTCTATAGCTCAGCAGGCTTAATCTCTGCCGTAGAGCCCTAATCTCTGCCGTAGAGCCCTAATCTCTGCCGCAGAGCCCTAATCTCTGCCGCAGAGCCCTAATCTCTGCCGCAGAGCCCTAATCTCTACCGTAGAGCCCTAATCTCTACTGTAGAGCCCTAATCTCTGCCGTAGAGCCCTAATCTCTGCTATAGAGCCCTAATCTCTGCTATAGAGCCCTAATCTCTGCCGTAGAGTCAGCGTCACTTAAGCCGAATGTTTTGACCATTTTTGCAGAAAGTTTGCAGTAACCTCACAGTTATGCATCAGTGTGAAAAGGTGAGGGATCTGCTGATATTATCCAAGTTTCCATAATCGTGGAATCACAAACAACTGCAGCTACTGATGGGGATAATTTGGTGTAATTCAGATTAAAACTGCTTTGATCTGAAGGATGAAATAATATTTAAGTACACAGGTTCCTCTTATGCTG